CATCCAACCACCCAACCTGATTCACATCTTGGTCTTTTTACATTTCCGTACCATTTCTGCTTCATTATTCCCTTTCTTACCAATATCCCTCTATACTTTCCCTCTTTCTCCCTCCTCGGTTTATTTTTGACTTCCTATTTTATTTTCATTACTATCACCATTACTTTTACTTTTGTCTCATTACCAATTACCTACAAGTCAGATACCTTCACCTATGTAATACGGTGGTGATTTATTTCTTGGTTCTGGTGAGGCGCCACTTTTGTAATTTGAATTGGCCCCCCATGTACCTCGCTGGGTGGGCTGAACTTTTGGGCCATGCCAATAGCCCAGCCACCATCTCTGCGCTGAATATATTTTGTCCGAGTATTTTGTCTTCTTTTGTCTTTAGGGAGTCCCGGGACGCTACACCTATCTCCTTACTCTCGTCCATATTCTTTCCCCTCCTTCTTCATCCCTTGCTCATTTTTCTCGTCATTTTCATTTACCTTCCTTCACCTTCCATTTTTTACATTATTCTCATCCGTAGGTATTCACTCTTCATATTTTCCTTCCGTTCATATTCCTATCAGCCATTTACTAGCCCACCAATATGATCGGCTGTGTCGGTCAAGCAACTCCATATACCAACGCTCCCTCATCTTGGATAGCACTGCTCTCTCCCTTTATCACTGTAACAGTTATCGACAGAGGCCAGGCATTTCGGTTTTACCTTCTCTATCCACATATCTCGATAATTTATTCATCAGCATTTCACTACTTTACTTACCTTCTTCTCCTTCATTATTCCTCCTTAAAACGAGAATTTACCATTCCATTTTTATTTTCATAATACTTTATACTGATTCTACTTTGTACCCACCATATAAAGCATTTGTTTCATTTTATTTACTTTTTAATATCCTTCGCACTTCTCTACGTCAACATAAAACTATTTTAATTGTTATATTTTAGTGCCACTTTCACTTTGCTTAATATCAAATACCAATTATTTACGTTTTCATTCCTTTCTTACTTTTTTATAAATGAAACTCATTTGTTTTTGTTTGTTATACTGAGCAGCCACAAAGCCACTGCTCCGAATTACCTTCGCGTTGCGTTCGTTCT